CACCTCAAGTACGTCATGCCCAAGCCTCGCCACCGTGGAGAGCACACCATTGCTAACTTGGCTCCTGCAGAGCCGAGGTGGGACCCTTGAGGTTTCTAAATGGGCAGCCCAAGTCGGGCATAGCCACGCTTTGCCACTGTGCAGCCCACACCATTGATCACATCACCCACGTGCAGCCGAGGTGGCGACCCAAGGAGGTTTTAGTTAGACACCTCAAGTACGTCATGCCCAAGCCTCGCGACCGTGGAGACCACACCATTGCTAAGTTGGCTCCTGCAGAGCCGTGGTGGGACCCACGAGGTTTCTAAATGGGCAGCCCAAGTCGCGCATAGCCACGCTTTGCCACTGTGCAGCCCACACCATTGATCACATCACCCACGCGCAGCCGAGGTGGCGACCCAAGGAGGTTTTAGTTAGACACCTCAAGTACGACATGCCCAAGCCTCGCCACCGCGGAGAGCACACCATTGCTAACTTGGCTCCTGCAGAGCCGAGGTGGGACCCACGAGGTTTCTAAATGGGCAGCCCAAGTCGGGCATAGCCACGCTTTGCCACTGTGCAGCCCACACCATTGATCACATCACCCACGCGCAGCCGAGGTGGCGACCCAAGGAGGTTTTAGTTAGACACCTCAAGTACGTCATGCCCAAGCCTCGCCACCGTGGAGAGCACACCATTGCTAACTTGGCTCCTGCAGAGCCGAGGTGGGCCCCACGAGGTTTCTAAATGGGCAGCCCAAGTCGGCCATAGCCACGCTTTGCCACTGTGCAGCCCACACAATTGATCACATCACCCACGCGCAGCCGAGGTGGCGAGCCAAGGAGGTTTTAGTTAGACACCTCAAGTACGTCATGCCCAAGCCTCGCCACCCTGGACACCACACCATTGCTAAGTTGGCTCCTGCAGAGCCGAGGTGGGACCCACGAGGTTTCTAAATGGGCAGCCCAAGTCGGGCATAGCCACGCTTTGCCACTGTGCAGCCCACACCATTGATCACATCACCCACGCGCAGCCGAGGTGGCGATTGAAAGAGATTTTAGTTAGACACCTCAAGTACGTCATGCCCAAGCCTCGCTACCGTGGAGACCACACCATTGCTAACTTGGCTCCTGCGGAGCGGAGGTGGGACCCACGAGGTTTCTAAATGGGCAGCCCAAGTCGGGCATAGCCACGCTTTGCCACTGTGCAGCCCACACCATTGATCGCAACAACCCACGCGCAGCCGAGGTGGCGACCCAAGGAGGTTTTAGTTAGACACCTCAATTACGTCATGCCCAAGCCTCGCCACCGTGGAGAGCACACCATTGCTAACTTGGCTCCTGCAGAGCCGAGGTGGGCCCCACGAGGTTTCTAAATGGACAGCCCAAGTCGGGCATAGCCACGCTTTGCCACTGTGCAGCCCACACCATTGATCACATCCCCCACGCGCAGCCGAGGTGGCGACCCAAGGGGGTTTTAGTTAGACACCTCAAGTACGTCATGCCCAAGCCTCGCCACCGTGGAGAGCACACCATTGCTAACTTGGCTCCTGCAGAGCCGAGGTGGGACCCACGAGGTTTCTAAATGGGCAGCCCAAGTCTGGCATAGCCACGCTTTGCCACTGTGCAGCCCACACCATTGATCACATCACCCATGCGCAGCCGAGGTGGCGACCCAAGGAGGTTTTAGTTAGACACCTCAAGTACGTCATGCCCAAGCCTCGCCACCGTGGAGACCACACCATTGCTAAGTTGGCTCCTGCAGAGCCGAGGTGGGACCCACGAGGTTTCTAAATGGGCAGCCCAAGTCGGGCATAGCCACGCTTTGCCACTGTGCAGCCCACACCATTGATCGCCTCACCCACGCGCAGCCGAGGTGGCGACCCAAGGAGGTTTTAGTTAGACACCTCACGTACGTCATGCCCAAGCCTCGCCACCGTGGAGACCACACCATTGCTAAGTTGGCTCCTGCAGAGCCGAGGTGGGACCCATGAGGTTTCTAACTGGGCAGCCCAAGTCGGGCATAGCCACGCTTTGCCACTGTGCAGCCCACACCATTGATCACATCAACCCACGCGCAGCCGAGGTGGCGACCCAAGGAGGTTTTAGTTAGACACCTCAAGTACGTCATGTCCAAGCCTCGCCACCGCGGAGAGCACACCATTGCTAACTTGGCTCCTGCAGAGCCGAGGTGGGACCCACGAGGTTTCTAAATGGGCAGACCAAGTCGGGCATAGCCACGCTTTGCCACTGTGCAGCCCACACCATTGATCACATCACCCACGCGCAGCCGAGGTGGCGACCCAAAGATGTTTTAGTTAGACACCTCAAGTACGTCATGCCCAAGCCTCGCCACAGTGAAGACCACACCATTGCTAACTTGGCTCCTGCAGAGCCGAGGTGGGACCCACGAGGTTTCTAAATGAGCAGCCCAAGTCGGGCATAGCCACGCTTTGCCACTGTGCAGCCCACACCATTCATAATATCACCCACGTTCAGCCGCCATTTCCATAGAGAGACGTTTAGGAGTATAGCCCATCATATTTGTGAAGTTTTAGAAGTGAAGAATTCTCGTGCGCAGCTTCGATTGGCGCTGAAGTTGCTCGAGCAACCACGTGCTTTAAAGAAAAACAGCTTTTCGGATGCCCCATTTTGCAACCCGGACGACCCCTATCAGCCACAAAGTTCTGTACCCCTTCTAAGCTGTGGAAACCTGGTGAGCGCGACTCTCAACCTGTAATGTGCATTGGGAGTTTGCCGGACATTTTTGAAAGTTTTCATCTATTTGTCTGTTAAGTGTCCTTACCCGTTTTGTATTATCTTCCGCTGTGAGAACCAGTAAATACGAGGTCTCTTAGCCCGCTCGGATTTGGCGGCAAACCAATAAAGAAAGCGTGCGTCAAGCAGCTCGCTACGCGGGTCGTTCTGTGTTCTTGGACAATTATTTCCGTAGAGGCAAGTTCGAAACGTAGTTCTGGCTATGTTCCCGGTCTTCTCGAAATATAGCTGTTGGGTCCAGCGTGAAGGACGGAATGAACATTTCCGTTTTTTTTTTATTACGCCGGATTCCGTCCGATCGTCCTGAAGCGAATGTTGTCGACAGTGTATATTGTATATTGTCACAAAGGAAGAGGCGATGAAACAAAAATATGGTGGCGCAATCCATTGCCCGTTAGATAGGGTACAGCTCTTACAGCCACTATCATCCATCTATGGCAGACAGCGTTGTGGCAGTTCTGGTGGCAGGCTGCCATAAAAATAGCCGTGTGTGATATTTCGTGCTTGACTAAAATTGCTCAACGAAACATATTGTTGAAACCCGGCGTGAACGGTGGCCTGATCTTTGAGGACCTGGCGAAAGCTTCTCGAATTCACTGCACCGGGGAAAAACAGCACAGATGGCAACGAAAGCGGCTTTGAGCGATGGTGGGGCGCACACACGCTTTTGCGTATCTCCGGCCCCTCTTATGTCTTATGACAATAGTGGTCCTTCGGCATAGGGGCCCCACTTCATCAGTAGGCCGTGAACAATTCACTTCGTTTAAATTAATTTTGTTTAGAACGTCACAGGTGAATATATGGTATAAAAATATATAAATCACTCGCGGGCACATCGGCACACAAGTTTGTGGAGAGACCCCGGGGAATATATACACTCGCGAGAAATTCCCGAATAATCGCGAGCACATCCACGGCGTCTCTTGGTCCGTATCCAAGGGTTCAGGAGCATAAGACTTCACCACCAACGAAATCACACCACCACTTGTCAACAATGTCGAACCGCGGAGGGTCCCATTCCCGGTAAGGCGACTGCTTTCGATGCTAGCTCCGCCGCTTTCCCCCGGTGCTGCGCTTTCGTAAAACTTTCGCCGGGTCCTCAAGGATAAGGCTACCGTTGACGCCGGGCTTCAATAATCTGCTTCGTCGAAAAACTTCAATCAATCACGAAATATCAAGTGTACTAGACCCCCGGCTATTTCTGTGGCACCCTGCTGCCACAACGCTGTCCGCCAAATTACTATAATGTCTAGACAGAATATAACTCGACCAAAAAGATGAACGACCGTGGTCGCGCTCCCGTACCTAGGCAGAGCTGGTTAAACGCCATCTAGCAAAGAGACATAGAGATCGCTGGGTCGCGGCAGAGCCGTGTATAGAGAGAGTTTGGTCAATAGGAGGCGTGGGCAGAGCCAGGGCATGCTCCAGACTCGGAAGAGGGCTTGGCATGCTCTGTTGACCAACCCAAAGCCGAAAAGAATTCTCCAGCGGTGGTAGCCAGTAACAGTTCTGATCCAAAGGTATATGTTCGTAAATTGTATTATAAACCGCGTAAGAGTGAAGTTCAGTAATGTTCGTGGTTGAAAATAGGGTGCACGTGATGTGCCGCTCCATTCTGTTCTGCTCGGACAGAGTGTGACCGCTCCGACGGCAGATTCCCGGCCCTCGCCGCTTGGCGTAAGGATTATGTCGATCGTTCCGCTAGTCGCACTGTTCCACCATCATTTTGGATTCGTGTGATTGAAACATCACGTGTTCCACATTTTCAGTCACCGAGAATTACTCCGATGCACTTATCAGGTTTGTTTCTTTCGACCACCGCCAGGGTATTATTTCCGGCTTCTTTTTGGTCACATTCGAATTTCTGAAGACGCCCTGGAACACGCCCATCCCGCTTTCGGCCAATGGCGCCTCCTCATTTGTCTCCTATACTTCACGACGCATGGCCGAACTCTCTCCATATACGGATCTGGGTCGCGGTGACTCAGGCACAGATGATTGGCTCCCTGCCATCTGCTCGGGATGGGCGAGTCCTGACGTCAGCGCTATTTCGGACGTAAGCTAGACCGTCGAGACCTTCTTATAAAAAAAACAGCGGCCGACTCGCGAGAGGCTTATTAGTATCTGCATAACTGTACGTAACTGTAGCCAAAGGTATCTCTCATTCATCGACAGCTTAGATATAATAATTAACCTGGTTTAAACGCTCGAAAACGAAAGTGGCGTGTCTTGTAGGTAGGAAATATGAGCTCACGCCAACTCGGTTTCATGCTTCTCGTCAGCACATTTTTCGGTAAGTAAACATTTCTTCTCACGATCAATGACCAAAACACTCTAATTCCTCAAAAATATAAACGGAATCTAGGATTGCGAAAAAAATAAAAAAAAGATTACCCGGGGGCCTTAGTTCGTAAAATTTGAGCAAAATGTACCTAGAATAATTTTCAGAGTGGTTAAACCTCCCCCAAGTCTGAAAGATTCAGAATGTTCCGCCAGTAATTGAAGGGTCCCTTTCGATGCGTGCGTAATTTATTTAGTCGGTGAAGATGGAAGCGCTGCGTTACGGAATGAGAAATCGGCTTCGAGCAGGGCAGATGTTCTGGAAGACAAGGTTTGCGGCAAATGCGCCGTATTGAAAAGAAAAGAAAACCAAACAAACAAACATTACGCGTAGTTTTAGCACAAAGCTAAGATTAAAGCGAAAAGGTCTAAGGGTTGATCCTTTCATATTTGTGCATGACCTTCGACATTTGAGTTCGCAACAAACATCCGCGTTGTTCAGTAAAATGTGTACGCTCAAACCAGAAGTTGGCTACCTAGCAAATGCTTAGCTGCGTAATAACAGGATACACAATGGGACCGTTGTGTATCCTGTTATGAAATGAAAAAAAAATCCTTTCCACATTCCTATACAAACGCAGAAAAACATAATTATAAACGTATCGTTGTTATGAGTTTCCCCTTCTTCGCTTTAATTGGTATATTCAGCACGCACCTCATTAAGTGAATCTGCACTTTAAGTAATAGTTGCCAAGCGTAAAAAGTTGAGTGTTTAAAATCTGACATCATGTTCTCGGATAACCGTTAGCGTTCCTTGTCGTATACAGATACTGCGTCGAACAAAACGACTAAATCGCTACACGCATGGAAAAATAGTGAGCAATGTCTGATATAAAAAATATATATTTGTAATGTTTCCCTCATCAATACAGTTAGGCGCTGAAATCCTGGAATGGTATGCAGTGTTATTATTTGAATCATTGAGTATTCTTAAATTCAGAGACTTCGGGCAAACCTGTTTTATGTTTCAAGTGGAACCAGGTATTGATTAAAATTCTAACCCAATTAATCGTTATAATTTTATCGCTAATTATATGATTACGCTGTTGCATTGACGTCCATGCATACACCTAAAAAGTATAAAACTAATTTCTACGAAATTACTGTGAGAGGGCAGGCGAGCTTGTGTATGTTCACCACTGCCCTACACTTCCTAAAAAACATTCGTCACTCGGGAGGGTCATACTCCACTCTTGAGTTGTAGCCAGGCTGCCAGGAAAGTATTCCTATTGAAAAAAGATTCCTTTACCGGAATTTCAGTGCCGGTAACAAATTATTTTCTGAATTATGAGACTCTTTTCACTGCCGGTGAAGCCGGAATTTACCGGCCGTCACCGGAATTTCGCCGGCATCTCCAGTGAAGGAAAAAATCGATTTTACTGAATTATGGGTCTCTTTTTACTCCCGATAAAGCCGGAACTTTCCGGAAGTCACAAAATCTCCCCGAATTCACCAGAATTTATCTTAAATCACCGGATTTTCCGGAATTCACCAGAACGGACTGTGTTCTTTTTTTTTTCGGACTTCAACAGAAGGGATTTAAAAAGCAGCCTGTGAACCGTGGGTGGTGTATGCTTACAAGAAGCTGGACGATTCGGTAATAATTAAAATGGTTAGTTCATATAGACCTGAAGGTTCCATGTCTTTATTTCAGAGGGTCGATACCCCCGAAAAAATGTGCACAGCTGTAGACAAAAAGAAGCAGAACAAATAGGAACAACCGAGTTAATTGTCGGAAAAAATATCTTTCACTGTACTCACAATGCGGCTGGGTAAATTCCTAGATGTACTGTAGTTCAACTAACAAAACCGAGCAGGCGAACCACACCGACACACACGCAGACACACGCTGTCAGTAGCACGTTTAGCGAAAACCACTAACGCGCAACCAACATCCGCTACCGTTGAGAAATCATTGGCACAGTCACGGTGTCGTCCTTGATGCTGAAACATTGGCATCTCGGGCATCTTTTTTCCTCGCTGGATGCTTCTGAAGTCGGAGGGTCGAGGAGGTGCAAATAAGGGTCACTGAAAGATTTGGTCTATCCGCACGCCCAGCTGCTCTGGACGATACAGGTCGCGCGCATGGTACGGGAAGCCGACACTGAGCGTCCGTTCGTTGCCGTTGCTCGTTGACAGACAAACAAACCGGTTTTCTTCAAAAGAGACTGCAAAAAGACCCCCTCACATTTTTTTCCACGCACCCAATGGAAGGGAGAGAGGGTGCATGGGGATACGAATGACAGCCGGTGAAACTTCCAGCAAAGCCGGGTCGTCTGGTAAACGAAAATGCCTGCCGGTAAATTTCCAGCAAAATGTGGTAATCGATTGCAGCTGCCGGCAATTCTTCCATTAAATACTGGTAAAGGGAGCTGGATTCAGATGAAAACGGGTGAAACTTGACCAGTTTTCACCGGATGTCACTGGAAGTTCTTGCAGAATTTTTCAATAGGGATGGGACGCGGCCCGGCGTACTCCTACTCCTCTCTAACTCTAGGGATGTCGATACTGCCCCAGTAGCTTTGTGTTTCAACAAAGCCTGTCACGAAGGTGAATGGGTGCAATAAGCGAGCGTTGAATTTATTTTCCTGCAGTGCTGAGAAGACGCGGCGATCGAAATCACGTCATTCCTTTCCATGGCTAGGGTGTGGTACACCCTACCATGTCAGAAGATGCCCCATAATGCCACACACGCAGTGTTGCATGCAGGAAATTTGGGAAGTAGCCTATTCCTTTACAAAATACCGCTACTGTTTTTCTTTTCTTCTTAAACCGAAACTAAATAGGAACTCATTGGGTGCACAAATAAATTCTCTTAATATCATAAAAAACCTAGTTAAATGGAAATGCGCCTTGTCCACAACTGGAAGATGTGAAAGGAAACAATATGCCGGATACGAATAGCATGATGATGATAGTTGGCAAGAATTTTGCATGTGGTCTATAGATGCAAGGCTAGGTGACTTTGTATCTACTACGGTAGTTTGTACTAACTGTTTCAACGCGAGCACCGGCTTTCGGCGGTATTTCGTCCACATTCGAACAGTTCACTAAAATTTCAAATAAACGAAAAATAGGAGACGTGTCCACAAGCCCATAGAAACGACAGCTAGAATAAACTAACATGAAATAACAAAAAAAATGAGAAACTGAAATGTCCATCACAAACACCGAAGAACTGCGAGTAAACACATTCTGCTTCTCTTACTTTATCCGTACTATCAAGATAAATCAAGCATTTTTTTCTGGCAATAACACGCATCTCAACTGATCACGTAGACAAATAAAGGGAGGGGCGATCCTGAGAATAATTTGTGCGTTTCTCGGGTTATGGAAGCCAAACCTCTGTGCTCTCATATCCGAACGGTTTATGAAGCGGGCCTGCCGACAGACAATAGAAGAGCAGGTGCCATGCCTAAATTAAGTTGAATCCCATCTACGCCATAATTATTCTAGGACTTCTTCGCCTACATTCTCCAATTCTGTTTTATAATCGAGATCCGTGTGAAGTAAATTAAACTTATGGCAACTAGCTTTCCCAGGGGAAGTCGTTTGTGTAGGTGGTGAAGGGCCCTAGAGGGATCACCGCAGTATTAGATTTTTACTGACAAAGATCTAAGCGAGGGGACTATAGTTTCCTTAATATTTAAAAAACTATATATATAACTTCATCACGTGCTTCTGAGCTTGTCAAATATTTGCAAAAATAGTTAGTTTACTTCTCGAAATTTGTTTGTGTTCTATTCAAGCACCATGTATATTGAAAGTACTTTGAGTGCTGCTCAAAATGCGTTGCGAGTTTGTATCCTGTCCAACTGGGATTTGTGACGCTCGAGTTTCACTAAAGCAACAATCAGAAACAAACAGCGATAGGCCTCAATCCAGTCTTTCGCGATTTGATAGGCTTTGTAGAATAAAGGTGGCTAGGCTCAAACACGAGCACCATGCACGTGAGGGTGTCTTTGGCAGGCTTGCAATCCCTCGTGCTTCCTTCGCGAGCACCGAACGACTAAACGCCTGCTAAAAGTAACATCGTGAGCATGCTACCTGTGTTTGAGGTTTGTCGCTCTCCTTTGTTTCCGTTGTGTGCTCTAGGGGGACTCGGGCATAAGTGACTCATACAATGCTCTCACGTTCATTTGAATACAATTACAGCTCTGAAAGTGTGCTCATTTGTACCACATTTATTTATTGTGGCCTTTGTTATGGGGCTCCTTAAAAGCAAAAGTCTGAACTGAAAAAAAAAATGATGAGACTGCTTAGATAGGCACGTATTACAAAGTAATTTTTCCAGGAAGAAAATAGCGTACTTAGGAATAGACAATGCATTTGATAACACAGTGTGACCAACCTCCCTTTGTTCACATCTACACTTCCTAAAAGGGCCTTTGAAAAGAAAAAAAAACGTTTAATAGTCTGGTTGGGGCACGTGAGTCGACAAAAAAAATTTATGCAAAAAAGATATCTTAGAGTCATATTGACGGCGAGAGATTTATTTGAAATTCTGTGCGCGAGGTCCATGACGTCACGGGTAATTGCGGAATGACCATCTCGGTCCTGAAGGCGAAGCCGATCCACCTCTCCTCTACGCGTACGAAATGCCGAGAGAAGAAAACAAGTGGAAAGGGGGTGACTGCCGACACAACCGCACCTTGCGCGGTCAAAATTGCTCTTAAAAGTTTTTTCTTTTGTTTTTTCGCGTAAAATATATATTTTTTTAACACACGTGTCCCATCCAAACTGTTGATTTTTTTTTTGTTTTCTTTTGAGGGGCTTTTTAAAATAATCTGCTAAATATGCTATGAGATGTTCATTAATAGTGACACCGCTACAGAAATTTTCTCTACTGTGATGTGATTTTATTTATTTATTTATGTTCAAGATACTGCCAATCCCCATTGAGGGATTATAGCAAGTATGGTACAAATAAAAACAAAACACAAAGTGTTTTTCAGGCGCGCGAAAAACGGTACTTTTTAGAAATCGTCACTTCCTTTCATATTGAAACAACAAAACAGAACATAACTGAAAGAACTAACACATGAACTTGATAAGAGGGTCTTATTCAATATCTTGATGAACGCATCCATATTTTTTTGATAAAAAGCAGCGGATCAAGGCTGTCCCAATCTCTTGTAGCTGAAGGAAAGAAAGGGTACTTAAAAGTATTATTATTGAAAGAGTATTCGGTTAATTTATTGCAGTGTTTATGTCTTCTTGTTCTTGCCTGGGAAAAATTCACATACTTGTTCTTGTCTATCTTAAAGGTGTCGTGTAAACGGAGATACACAAATTTGAGTCTTCCTAATTTTGCGCGATCAGCAATGATCAATAGGCTGGATGTTTTCAGCAATTCTTTAGGGGAATCAAAGCGACCATACTTGTGGTGAACAAATCTAATCGCTTTCCTCTGAACATTTTCGAGGATGTTGACATTGGTTTGTGTCTGCGGGAACCAGGTAACGAGTGCGTAATATAATATTGGGCGAAAGAGTGTGGTGTATGAGAACAACTTGGTTTCACGAATAGAGAATTTTAGCGGTCTTTTTTAGAAAAAATATTTTGACGAGCGCTTTACTAGATACGTATTTGACATGCGCATTCCAGTTTATATTAGACGTTAACACGACACCTAGATGTTTGTATTCAGCGACTCTGCGCAACATTTTACCGTCTAAGCTGTAACGAAATTCAAGAACATTTTTTTCTTATTGGTCAAGAACATACAAACCGTCTTTTCAGTGTTTAAAACCATCTGCCATTCACTGCACCAGTCTGCTACCTTCTTTAGAGATCGCTTTAATATTGTTTGGTCACTTTGGCATGAGATATCGCGATATATAATGCAGTCATCTGCAAATAACCTTATGTTTGCGTCAGTGCCATCAACCATGAAATTAATGTCCGGAAGAAATAAGAGTGGGCTAGGACAGAAGCCTGTGGAACTCCCAACTCCACTACAACTGGTTTTGAAACCTGTCCTTCGTAATAAACAAACTGAAAACGATTTCTTAAATACTCCTCTATCCATTTTATTATCGGTCTCTCCCCATAATGTGTTTAAGTTTCTTCACAAGTTTGAGGCGCGAAACACGGTCAAAGGCCTTTGATAAGTCTAAGTAAAGTACGTCAATTTGTCTTCAATTGTTTATACCCATTGAAAAGTCATGGAGTGTCTCGATTAGCTGTGAAGTCGTTGACAAACCTCTCCTAAAGCCGTGCTGGTGTGCATTTAATAAATTATGTTTCTCAGTGAATTCTGTCATAATTTTCAATATTATATGTTCCATTATCTTGCAGCAAGCACACGTTAGTGATATAGGTGTCTAGTTGGAAATTAGGGAGCTATCGCCAGACTTAGGAATAGGAGTAACCTTTGCGACTTTCCACTCTGCGGGAGCCAAAGAAGGACGCAAGGACTTGTTAAACATCAGCACTAAATACTTGCTCATCCATTCAGCGTATTTTTTTAAAAAAGATGTTAGGAAGTTCGTCAGGACCCGCACCCTTCTTTGCGTCCACGTCGAGTAAAAGTTTTAAAACGCCTGCTTCTGTGACTTGTAAGCCACCAAGGTATTTATCTGCGTAGGTTTTAGAAGGTAGAATTAAGCCTTTTTTGCCATTATCGGCTGTGAAAACGGACTTAGAAAAACCGCTGAATTCTTCTGCCATTTTTAATGCCTCCGGGGCACTTATGGTGGAAGTTTTAGACTTTCTGGGAATTATATGGTTCCAGAATTTTCGGGTTGATGCTCTCATAAAATTGTGGAGGGTAATATTGTAGTATTTGTGCTTTGCTTCTTTAATCTTCAGTTTGAGCAGTCTGGATAGTTCCGATATGCTTGGATTGTGGTTGGTGAGTATTAGTATTTTTAGTTTACGCTTCAGGTGAATGATTTCACGTGAAATCCAAGGGTTGAGCTTCTTATAATTTTACGTTTACTAGGAATAACCTTAGAGATGCAGCGATTAATAATTGACTTGAGCTTTTGCCATAGTTCGTCAATACTGATATCTGTTTAATCATAAAGCTCTTGAAAATCGTTAAATTCATAAGCAAGATAAGTTTGAATGCTGGCATCGTCGGCTTTGTAGAAAGCGAGCACGTATTGGGCGCAGCCATGGGCGATGGCTGAACTACGAACAGGTACCGTGCATACAACAATTTTATGGTCAGATATCCCCTCCCCCACTTCTACGCAAGTTTGAGCCTGAGTAAAGTGGTCACTGAGGAACACTACGTCAAGCAAGCTTCGTGACGATCCCTGCACCCTGCTTGGTTCCCTGACGTTTTGGGTCATATTGAACGGAAATAGCGTGTCAATAGTAACATCAGCAGTATCCAGGCCTGGGTGCAGTGAGTCCCAGTTTATTTCAGTCATATTAATATCACCCGTCATGCTGATTTTATCGCTTTTAATATTTGCTAGCATGTGGTCATAGCGGTTATGAAGACACCGTAGGTCAGAGTCTGGGGGACGATAAACAACGCCGACAACAATAGAATAATTTTCAAAGGAGACCTTACACCATAAAGATTCCACGTGTTTTTACCTCAGACATAAGCACATAAGAAATACCGCGTTATAAGATAATTGCTACACCACCACCCCTTGTTAATCTATCCTTTCTTAGAATAATATAGCATGGTGGCACATTCGTTGTCAGATATTAACGGGTGTAGCCACGTTTCAGTTACTGTAACGATTTCTGGATTGCATTCCAAAAGTATATACTCTAGCGCATCTACCTTATTTAGGATACTTCTTGCGTTTAAATTAAGGACTGTAACATTAGACGGTAAAACACGGTTATCAACTAGGCGTGGTCGGTGATATTGTTTTTCCTATTGGAACTTTGTCATTTTTATCCTCGTCCACTGCGTACAACTGCCCGTTTACCATGACCTTATCGAAGGTCAAGAACACTTTATCGTTTTTGTCTGGATTGATTTTAGTGCTTTCCCACAGTTTCTTTCGTATCTGTTACACGGGGCGTGAAAAATCCTCGCTGATAGAAAACGTTGTCCCTTTCAATTTGAAGCAATTTTTCAGCATTCTTGTTTTATCTCTGCAGTAAAGTAGTGTTAAGATGACAGGTCTAATTCTTTGGTCCGTCTTCTTTTCCAGACGGTGAATTCTTTCGATGCCTGATATCGGCGTGTTAAAAAGCTTTTCGACAATTTCGTCTGAAACCACTCTTTCAAGTATTTTCCTGTTTTCAGTGTCTTTTTCTTCGATTCCATAAATTATCAAGTTTGCTCTCCTGCTTCAGCTTTCCGAATCGTCTTGCTTTTTAGAAATGGTTTGGATGTTAGCTTCAAGTTCAATTATTTTTTCTTGACACGCACCGATGGTAGTTTGGAGCGTACTGAGGCTTTCTAGCTTTTTTTTCGATGGCTGAAAGTCTGTCATTTGTTGTGACATTTTCGTTCTTTATTTCCTGTATATCTTTAGCAATGGCTTCAAGTTGTTCCATTAAAATCTTCATGTCCGGACCAGGGTTAACCTCAACATCGCCGCTAAGCACAAGTAGCATTTTTAAATACACGATCACATTGCACAACAATAAATAACACGACCGTGCGAACGGCAGCAAGATCAGGCATACGTTATTACTACGAAACGATAGGTAGTCGCGCCTCCTTACCTGTACGATAAAGACGAAAGTATTCGTTTATTTAAGAAAACTATAACTTGCTTAAGATTTTGCAGAAGAAAATAATCTCATTCATGGTTTATTGCTTTTATCTTAGTTTATTTGTTATATCATTGCAAACCGCACCAAGATACGTAAATTTTATATTATAAATATATGTAACAGGAAGGATTTAATCAAAATGTGACAATAGTTCTCAAGAAAGCGATGTCAACCTTCTCGGTGAGCCTCGTGGTATTGTTCGGAATTATTTCCTTTAGTCGGACGTGGAATCATTTGATTATTCCTGCACAGCTGAATTTCTATGAAAGCAGTGTAAGTTAACTGATTCACCTCAGCCCAACAAACTTTCCCAAACTATTTTTAGGTTGTTGTTAATAATTAAAACCTCCTAGATCTCCTCATATAAACATGGTTATCTGCTACTTGCTATTTACAGCAGGGGTATGCTCAAGACACACAAACGAAGAGAAAGATGATTTAAAGACGACATGTGGACGACGAGGAGTGCAGGACACCGTTTCTGAGCGAATTATTAATGGTACCGAGGCGACTCCTGGCCACTGGCCGTGGATGGTGGGGCTGTATAATGCAGAAGACCAATTCAAATGTGGTGGCGTTTTAATAAGCCGCCAGTTTGTTTTAACTGCTGCTCATTGCTATAGGTATGTATACATTTGCTCCATCTTATTTTTCTCCAAAACAAGGATTAAGTTTGGAGAGCCCCCGTTGAGTTCCGGGATTTGACATTAGTTTACATGTATTTATAAAAGTTCAACTGTTCACGAAGCGTACTATCTCAATAACGGTTACCGGGAACATAAGTGCGCGTGTTCTTGGGTACTACCAGGACACACGACAAGCCCAGCGTACAACTCGAGACCATCCGAATCACTATACTGCAGCCTTCCCATGCCGAATGCTTTGATAGCGTCTGATGCCAAGTGTTCCCCTGTTCCCGGTAACTGCGATTACGACCGTACACAGACGAGACAGACAAGTTTTGGGGCTGGGATTACGTAATCCTTTACGGAACACTTCTCAATTTTAATGTCTGTAAAAACTAAAAAAATTACCCGTTTTCGTAACTGCACTCTTCAGCAAATATCTAATTGGATAAGTGGTCGCTCTCTTTTCTTAAAATTGAAGTGGTAAAATTTATGCATATTATTAATGTCTTGTTTTCGTTTTTGCGATGTTTGACGTAATAAATGCTTCCGGGTATAAGTCTCAACTTTATAGAAGTAGCACCCCCTTCAAACGGTCGTTTTCAGAGAAAAGATGAAATATAAATCCCACTCCCCCATAAACTGATTGCTTTTCTAAACAAGTTGGTACATATCTAAGTTGCGCTTTAATTTGTGTACCTAACACACGGCCCTGGCGGCACGCCGCAGTTATTGGCAGGGCGCATTCGCAAAGGTCTACTTCACGCGAATCTAGTTTCTGCGGTGGCGTGGTGCCAACACGTCGTGCGGTAACTGCGCCTGTGTCCACACTTGGTCGGGGCTTGTTTGCAAGGGGCTCGTTGGCCTGTAGAGTAACTCCACGCCAGGCGATCCAGGCCTAAATTTGAACCTCACGAATCGGTTTAAAATAAGAAAATAGAGTTGTATGTGCTATTGGTAGGATTCTGTATTTTCTGAGTTTGTTTTTCCTGAACTTCGGAGGGTGTTTTTCGCCGTTTATTTTGAGCCGAAAATTCGGAGTTTAACGAAGCTTATTTCTGTTTTATTTCCATTCCCCTAAAACTCGGAATTTAATTTCGCTCTGATTCCCACTAAAAATAAAGAAATACCCAAGTAATATTTGGGTGTGAACGTATGCAAGATTGAAAAAAAAAATGAAGAATAAATAAAACACTATAGTATGAAATAATATTTAAGAGCTAAAACAGCGCGAAAAGACGAAGACGAAGAAGTAACACGGACGCAGCGTTGACTTACAAATGAGTTTATTAATCGCAAAATCGCTATATATATTTGCGTTTTCACGAACAAAAAAGAGGAAACTAAAGGAAAAATTCTGCCCACCGGATACATCACCAACAAAAAATAAAGAAATAAAAATGCGCTCTTTCACAGCCGTACAGAGCACGTGTTAAAAAAAAGAAGAAGCAAGTCAGAGATCTAGAAAATTCATCTCCCTGCCAGATAGGGCCGCAGATGAACTGCTTACACATGCCGCGTCCAACCTCGCTATCTCAACGGCCTCCAGATTTTCACGTGTAAGCTGGTCCCTGTGCCGCTTCCTCACACCGTTCAAAGTCGGGTAGGCAACCACAGTCGCGGCAATGAATGCCCACATTACCAGACACGGAGACACTGTGAGCGTGCTTTCTTAACCTGTCATTGAAACAGCGTCCGGCCAACGTAACGCTTGCCACACGTTAGAGGAAGCGAATAAACCACCCCCTCAGAGCACGCGACGAAGCGATTTCGATGCCTCATGTTGCAAGCCGTGGCCTCTTTCCAAGAGGGGTTAACAGTTCCGCACAACCTGGACAACTTGTCCGGAGCAGAGAATAAAACGTCGGCGTCACACCTGCCCGCAGTGCGGTTTCGGTAGTGGGCCAAGCCGTGAATATGGGGAATGAGAACGAACTTTCTTCTTTCCCTTTCATTTGTTGACCTCTTCTTCAGTTGTCACAGGCCTGCCATTGGTATCTTTGAGCAGAGACTCGGCAACCGCTGTTAACACGTGGAGGGGAATCCAGCATCTGCGAGGCGTTCACTTTTCTTGTCACAGCTATGTTGGATTTTGTAATAACAAGACCTCCTCAGCGCATGTGTATAGCAAGTCCTCGCAATTGCCCGCTTAACAATGTTTGAGGGAGCGGACTCGAAGGGCACCAGCGGCTTTCAAGCAGGCGGTTCATAGCCCCCACATGGCCTAGACAAATAGTTACAATCAAATCCAAGAATCGGATATATCCTCTCTCAGGCACCTCATGAGTCAAAACAAGGGGCGAAAGGCAATCACTAAAAATGCCTCAAACTTGAGTTATTTCCAAAAGAAAGGACAAGGCATCGGCATCTGACAAAAACCAGAAAATCATCTACATACCGGAAGACATTTGTAACCTAATATATTCTCAGCTGAATTTTGCGCTAGTGCCATCGCTCTTACTACTTCGTCCAACGACAAGAGTTCCCCATAAGTGTTGCTTTGATAAGCGACGATACCTTAAAGGCAATAAACTCCTGGAAGTCGTTGCTAAGAAGCTCCTATTCATCCCACCTTATTGCATCAACGTACCCCGTGGTCGACCGAGGTGAAGTGGTAAAGTATGTAAAGGAGAAGTTCCAACTGCCCTTTTTGCCCATTTTGGGCAATCCCTATGGTGCACAGCTTTCAATGTTAGAAAAACACACATCTCTCCTTGATCTAAAACAAAGATATGATGCCCCAAACTAAAAACCAAAACAGTGGCCTTTGACGCGACCGAAAAGTACAACGACATGTTATTCTGATTGAAGCTTGACGATGTAATCCGAAGGACTGCTCTTTACAATAGTCCGAGATTAGAAAGTTGACTGTGGTGGCCTTTTCCCAGGACCATTGACCATGTGTCCTGATCAAGCCTAATTGTAAAATACGTTTTTATTTTTTATTTTTTTTAGGGGGGGGGGGCACTGGCAGATAGAGGTTTGGTGTTTACCGGAAAAAATCCGAATTGACCTAAAATTTACAGGCGGGAGTTTTTCGTAATTTTTCGGATTTATACTAAACCTCAGAACTTTAGTTAATATTCGAGATGTAAACATACCTTTTCCAAGGTATTTTGCCACAGTTCATTTTATTACACCTTGAGTTTTATGAAAAACAAGCACAAACGGAGTAAAAGCCTTATTTGTATACAGACACCTTTGAAACGAAGGTGCAAAATAATTACCGCTTCAGTAGGTCTATGTATTCTACTAAATTATCCAGCGTGCTTTGTCACGCATTTCCAAGTGTTTTTAAGGAAGCAAATTTGTTAAAAATGACCCAAAATATTTATATTCACCTGTTATATTAAACAACACGCCAATATATCAAAACAAAACTGATGTGTGTTAGTAGTAAGGCAAGCAAAGCATAATTTAAAAAGTATTTTCATACATTACTTCTTACTGTTGTTTCTAAATAAATGCAAAATAGTTAGCATATAGCAAAAAACTCATTTATAAAAAAATAGAAATCATAAGGTGGGTCTAAAGATTTATCCTCAAGGGTAGCAGACGCTTTATACACGCGCCAGATTAAAGCCGCCTTTGCTGACCTTTCCTTGTCTTACCGAGATACCGAGTCACTGAAACCGTCGTTGCCAAGCCTCCATAAGGGAAAATGCTGGGGAGAAGGACACAGTAGAATATAAAATGACAATTACCTCACCTGCTATGGCAATGATGAAGTGAAGTAAACGGAGTAAGGGGAAAGAAAAAGTGGAAGACGTTTACGAATTTCCGTAAACGTCCTCCGCTAGATATAACTGGAAAGATATGACTTGAGGAGGAGAAGGGGAGGGTACGCCCCTCTTTTTTGTCGACGCCCTCTCCTTCTACACCCCTCCTCCTTCATAACTCCCCCTTCCGTACTTCTCTGCTGCTCCTACTCCCCCTTCATTTCTCCTCCTCCTTTCCTCCTTTTCTTATCCTCCCGTACCCTTATTCTCCTCCTCTCCACTTCCCTCCTCCACCTCCGTACCCTCCTTCCTCTGCGTACCCTCCCTTTTCCTCCTCCGAACCTTCCCCTCCTCCCACAGTTCCCCGCTAAATTCATTTGGAAAATATACGCCACGTGACATCAACACCAATTCAACTTCTACCCTAATTCTGGGTCGAGGCGGGATGACGTCACATAACTTCGTGTCACGTCACCGATGAACAAATTCAGTTTCTCCGCTAGATATGGCCGGAAAGATGGCACCACGTGACCTCAACACCAGTTTGATTTCCCGCTAAATTTAGTGGGACATTTAGGCCGACGGGCGCCTTTGAGCTGCGTTCTTGAATTGAAGGTAGGTTATGGCGGCAACCATGAACAGCTGCAGGAAAGCCTCTATAAATAGCCAAGAATTCACGCAACAAACGAACAAATATTAAAAAAAATATAAGCGCGATTTTTTTAATATGGTTTATTGCCAGAATTAAAAATATTGAAAATCGTCAGTTTTCAAAAGAAAAAAAAAATGGTTCGTCTAAAAGTTCATTTGAGCTTAATGTAGCTTGAAACTCGGAGAACAAACGAGCAAAGTTTGAATGAAATATTTTCTAAAAGCTATAATATATCTATATATATATATATATATATATATATATATATATATATATATATATATATATAATTTTTTTTTAACATTGGCCCATAGCAACTCCATTGCGCCTATTCTCTCAAAGGCATTTAGTCATAAGGAGCACGACCAAGTTGGTCTTCTGAAACAAAAACAAAAAAAATGTTTAATAAAATCTTTCTGAAAACGAAATACAACACTAATGCGCGAGAGCTTTCCTTTTGTCCGCTTTCAAACGAATCAAATATTAAATAATAATAAAAATTTAATTTTGATAAAAGTATAGGAGGATAAGGTAAAAGGTGTCTAGAGAAGCCCCATCCCCTCCAGGGTTGACTCTGTGATTTTGCTTATTAAACGTACAAAGATATAACCAAAATGGCCTAAAAC